GGCATTTAAATTTTTAAAAGTTAAAATGGGGATATTTTGTTTTTGATAAGAAATATTTGGTGGTGTAATGTAAAAAATCAAAGTATAGTTGTAAGATATGTAAATACATAAGAATTAGGTGGTATCTATGTAAACATTCATTTGAAATTAGTATTATGAAGACTTTGCGTCACTTTAGTTTTCATTTTTATTTTATTTATTAATAATATTGGTGCATGCACGAAACGTTCTAAAATTTAGAAGGCATGTACCTGAAGTGTAATCAAAGCAACATTTTCTGGCAAACAATAGGACTCCGTTGCAGAGAATTTTGGTACATGAGAATTTACCCAGTTGCCCCCATCCTAAAAAAACAAAATTAAAATTCATTTTATCAGCAACAAAATAACAGTTTCAGTATATAGTACTTGTTTATTAACCTGTTCTGAAAAAGCCACAAGAAGAGGAGAATAGATCTCTTGACCGGTGGTTCTACGCCATTTAGCTCCCTCTCCCAGCAGATCTATTCTAAGATAGAATTTGCCTTGAATCTGTACATGGATAGGGGATGTAAAAATGTTTTTTTCACAATTCCTATCACTAATTAAGCTTCATACTAACTTCATATAAAAAATGTAAATATGTTCAATTTAAGAAAAAATAAAATAAAAATAAAATGAAGCTAACCATAGATTGGCAACAGCACTGACAAAATAATACAATGGCATTTATATTCCTGGAAGTATTAGTTCACTTTGACCTAATCTAAAGCATTATTTATTTTATTTATGACAAATAGCCAATATATTGGATGAAAATGCCTTCTTGTCCAAAAATAATAGACAAAAGATCAATAAAATTAAAAAAAAATAATGAAAAATGCAGACTGTTAGGATGTGAAAGACTTTCCTGATGTCATATGGACCACTGCTTTGATGAGACTGGAGCAAGCATAGGCGGATTTAAGCACCACCCCCAAAAGTAAAAAATAAAATATTAAATTTGGTGCATAAAAAATCCTTTGAAATTTCATATGGACCACTGCTTTGATGAGACTGGAGCAAGCATAGGCGGATTTAAGCACCACCCCCAAAAGTAAAAAATAAAATATTAAATTTGGTGCATAAAAAATCCTTTGAAATTTAAATAAATAATAATTTTTAAATATTTACTTTTAAATTAGCACATATAAGCGAGCTAATTCAATTCAAAACTTGAATTAAAAACAAATTTTAAGCATTATTGGCAGCGATTTTTTTAGAGAATCTAGATTCCTAGTGACAACTAGAAAAATAATATCACGAAAGTTATTTCGAACTCGACAACACGACTAAAATAAATAAAAGCAAAAATTGCAAAACAATATTCAATGAATATCTAAGAAAACACACAAGTCATGACGAAAAAAATGTGTGTACATAACAGAGAATGCATTTACAAGAAAACTGTGAACGGACAATCAAAAAAGATTTCTTACTGTTAGTCCTGCACATTCATCATTCACACAAACTGTTTCATTAAGCGCCTCTGCCACTCCTTTACCATCATCATGAAGCAATCTCCTGCAAGCATATGTGAGATTAAGCAGAAATATTAGCCAATAAACCAATTTTATAAGAGTCAAGAGAACAGCACTAAATTTATGAAGGGCATGCCTTGGTCGACTATATGAATTGTACTTTAAAAAAAACAATAATGGAATGACTGATAAACTTAGTTATTATTTCAAAATTACACATAACCCATGTTAACATTTCAGCAAAAACAAACATGCAGTCTGGAACAGAAGAAAAATATACCACAGATAGAGAATCACAACAATTTTAGATTAAAAGAAGCAAAGTCTGCAAATCCCGCAGTTGGAGCAATTGGTTGGAGAGTAAAAAAAGATTAGGAGCATTTACATACATACCACGTTGTTCTTATATATTTACATATTTAGCACCTAAACTTTTTTTATTTACATGCATAACACTAAAAATTTTAACATCACATTAAAAATACAACTCTTACTAATTTTATAAAAGTGAAATGCACCTTTCCATGCATAGGTTTATAACCCAAAGTGTTAAAGATGTAAATATCAAATTTTTGGTATTACATATGTAAATACATATAAATTGTGTGGTATGTATGTAAATTTCCCAAACGATTATTCCACTGACTCGAGTGCAATGCAAGGGAAACATATGCAAGTTTACGTCTTGAAACAATAGATTTTGGCTTGAAACATAAGGCAAGCCTCAGTAGATAATCTGGAAGTCTTTGTTTTAACATTGATAAAGAAGGCAGAATGTACCTATGAAGCATCAATTCTACTTGGCCATCCTGAATGCTGGAGCCACCCATACATCCGTCTACTAAGAGAGAGAGTTCAGTGCGGTTATCTTGCAAGTAAATTCCAAGATTAATCTGTAAATAAATAAATTTAGTTAAAAAAACAAGGGGTAATGCACTGTTTAAATGAACATTATTGGCTAGAAATTACATGACAGCTATTCTGTTAAATGCATATTTGTCTTGGGGCAAGAAAAAAATGAACATAATCTAGACAATATTGGCTAGTTTGTTGAAAGAATGATGTCAAGTTCTCTGAAACATAACGCTCAAGTGCAAAAAAGATTCTCAATTGGGTTCGCGTGTCGGGTTCAGTTGGTGAATCAAGTTGGCGAGTCAACCTAAAATCAAGCTAAAAAATTAGACGGGTTAGAATTCCTAGCGTGAACCCAACTCGAATATTATTAGTCAACCCGAAACCAGATTTTGCAAGTTGGGTCGGGTCTAGTTGGTGTGTCTGATCAATTTTACACTTTTGCTCCCTCCCACTCATCCATCCCCTCTCTCATCTGACACTTTTCACTCTGAAAGAGTGAAAGTGGATCTACCAAAGTTTGACACTGGGTGGACGAGTGCGAGGGATTTCAGAGTGAAAGTGGATCTACCGAAGTTTGAGGGGGTTGATCCAGATGATTTTATTGAATGGTTGCAATCGATTGAGAGAATCTTTGAGTACAAAGAGGTGCTAGAAAACAGGAGGATGAAGCTCACGACATCAAATTGAAAAAAGGGCGCTTCTTTGTGGTGAGAAAATTTACATATGCAAAAAAAAAAAAAAAAAAAAAAAAAAAAGAAGTAATAAGATTGTCATATGGGAGAAGATGATGAATGAGATACAAAGAAAATACTTACCTCCTCACTGCCCTGAGGATATATTTATGAGGCTCCATCGCCTACAACAGAGAGATATATCAGTGAAGGAGTTCACGGCACAGCTTGAGTAGCTTCAAATGAAAAGTTAGAGAAACATACTATAGTCGGATATTTGGGAGGTCTGAAGCCAGCTATCCGTAATGTTGTTCAACTGCAGTCCTATTAGTCACCGAGAAATTTCTTGATCTAGCATTGAAAGTGGAGAGAGCATAAATAAAGTAGACACCTCCCTCATTTAGACAACCACCTACAGCTGTAGCTAAATAGCAAGGTTACATTTAAAAGAGTTGGGAAGACCAGACAAGGGAATGCCAAGACAAATCTAAGAAGAAAGAAGCCAGACAAGAGTAACACATCTAGTACAATGTATGTCAAGAGAAGTTTTATGTGTCACGGCAAAGGACACAGTCACCAACTACACTACGAGTCAGGTTGTTTCCTTCACTGAACAGAGTGCCATCGAGGAAGTGAGTGAGGAGGAAACATCGGAGGAATAGGATGAGGAACCTCAACTCTAAGGAGATGAGGAAGACATGCTAGTCATATGGAGGGTCCGACAGACTAAGCCGGAGAAGGATCATGTGTGGCTAAGGCATAGCATTTTTCGCACAAGGTGTACCGTGAAAGGGGAAGGTTTGCAGCCTGATTATTGAAGATGGGAGTTATGAGAATGTGGTATACACTCTAATTGTGAAGAAATAGAATTTGACACGTAAAAGCATCCTCAACTTTATTTCCTTGCCTGATTAGAAAGGAGAAATGAGATACGTGTGGATCAACAGAACTTGGTTGAATTTTCTATTGGAGATCAACTACAGGAGCAAATGTGACGTGATATAGTGCCTATGGCTTCTTATCATATTTTGTTGGGATTACAATTTGAACGCAAGACCCAATATGATGGGTTCAAGAACACTTATTTGTTCATGAAAGATGGAAGACGCATAATTCTTTTGCCCGTCAGGGACTCAAGAGAAGTAGACATCATAGAGGAGATGGTAGTCCCACGAGCCACTTTTATGCATGAGGTACGAGAGACTCCAATGACAATGGCTTTAGTCATGTTAGAGAGAACCAAGGAGATTGATATACCAGAGCCTATACAACCAATGCTAAATGGATTTCAAGACATGATGACTGACAACCTCCTAGAGGGATTGCAACCAATAAGAGACATTCAGTGTGCCATAGATTTCATCCCTGGATCAGTGTTACCAAATAGACCTGCTATAGATTAAGGCTACAGACTGCGAGGATCTACAACAACAGATATATGATCCCGTTGCAAGAGGTTTGGTGAGAGTTATCAGCACGCACGCTATCCCATCCTTAATCGTGATTAAGAAGGATGATTCATGGAGAATATGAATTGATATTGAACTACCAATAAGATAATCATCAAATACAAGTTCCCTAAACCTCGCTTGGATGACCTTTTGAATCAATTTCATGGAATCATTGTCATTTTCAAGATCGACTTATGCAATAAATATCACCATATTAGGATGAGACCAGGAGACAACTCGAAGATGCTCTCAAAACCCTGGATGGATTATACGAGTGGTCATAATTTTTGGGTTGCCCTATATGCTCAACACATTCATGAAGTTGATGAATCAAGTGTCTTGGGCTCACACCGAAAAGTTCAAAGTGGTGTACTTCAATGATATTCTTTTATACAACAGATCCGGAGGCTCACTTGCAAAACTTAAGGATGGTTGAGGCTTTGTGATCGAAAAAGTCATAAGCCTACACTAAGATGTGTCATGTTGACTCATGCATGTTTCTTCGGTTATATTGTCTCCAATGCAAGCATTCAAATGAACCCTACAAAGATAGAGGTGATTGTGATTTAAACACTCCCACACTCCTTTAGCAATTTGAGGAAACTCTTGAGGCTAGCATCATTTTACAAGCGGATCATCAGGAGCTTCAACACCATCACTGCTCCCCCAACAGAAATTTTGAAAAAGGAGATGTTCCAGTGGACGGAGGCAAATTAGTCCAATTTTTGTACTCTAAAGGAGAATATGACTCGGGCACCAATATTGGCATTATTGAAATTCAGTCAGCTATTCGATGTGGAATATGACGCCTCAAATGTGGAAATCGAAGAAGTATTGAGGCAGGGAGGCCATCTCATAGCCTTCTTCAGTGAGAAGTTGAATGAGTCCAGGTGAAAATATTCAACGTATGACAAAGTGTTCTATGCGATTGTAAGAGCTCTTAATCACTGGAGTCACTACCTGCTGACGAGCGAGTTCATTTCATTTATGGATCATAAGGATTTGAGGTTCTTGAATAGCTAGAAAAAGTTAAAAAGGTTGACATGCTTCCTGGGTGGAGTTCTTGACATTGTTCCAGTTCAAGGTTAAGCACATGGCGAGAAGACAAAATCGAGTAGAAGATGCACTGAGCCACCGTCATTTGTTGATCACTTCTATGCAGACTCGAGTTGTAGGATTCGAGGTAGTGAAGAAGTTGTAAAGAACATATGAAGATTTCAAAGAGAACTACGAGCAGTGTCAGAAGAAGCCTACAACACAGTATCATAGGGCTAATGCTTATCAGTTTCACCAGAGCAAGTTGTGTGCTCCTTAATGTTCACTGAGAGAGTCCATTATTCAGAAGAGTCGCAGCAAAGGACTTGGCAAACACTTCAACAAAGACAATACTCTGGCACTCGTGTGGGAACACTTTTTCTTGGACCCGACTAGCAAGAGAGATGGAGTGGCACATCAGGTAATGCAGAGCTTGAAAAGCAACCAAAGCTAGAGGTCAGAATGTAGGACTATACACTCCATTGACAATATAGGAGGCCCCATAGGTAGATTTAAGCATGGATTTTGTGGTGGATCTTCTGAGGACACAGCGGAATAAGGATTCTGTGATGGTTGTGGTGGATACATTCTCAAAGATGACTCATTTCGTACCTTGCCACAGGACCTTGGATGTATCACATATAGCTAACTTATACTTTGGAAAGGTCGTGAGGCAGCATGGGATACCCAAGACCGTTACTTCCAACAAAGATGTCGAAGTTTCTAAGTCACTTAGAGGACCCTATGGAGGAAGCTTGACACTAAATTTCAATTCAACTCAGCAATTCATCCACAGACGGTGATCAAACGGAGATAGTGAACGGATGTTCGAGGAACCTTCTGATGCACTTTGTGGGGAAAATAATAAGCAGTGGGATCTAGTCCTAGCCCAAGCCAATTTTTCCTACAACAGGTCTGTAAGTCAAACTACAAGATGCATACCTTTTCTTGAAAGGGTTACATTTTGCATTAATAAAAATAAAAGTTACAGAAGATATGCATGTAAGCACTTATCACATACAAAAGTGCGACTTATCATCTATAAGAATAGAAGTGAGCTTACTAATACTACATAGATGCTTCAAAAAAAAACTTTCAAGTAGAGCCAAGTTGACACAAGAATGAGCAGACTTGTTGCATTGTCTAAGAGTATGTAAAAAGAGCACCTATTTAGTAAGGAAATCAAAATCTTTGTAGTTGTATAGTCATTCCTTCCGGTCATTGCTAGTGGCGGATTGTTGGAGAGATGAAATAATATTGAAGTTATTACTTTCAATAATGATGCCATGTCATTGACTTCTTACATCCACAGTTCAAGAAACTCTCATAGAGGTGATGTCCATAAGATGGGCTCGAAGCCCTATCCTCATGTTCAACACGACTGCCAACAACCATAATCAAGTTATCTCCGCCATCTCTTGGGGGGCCTTGATGACGCTTGAAATAGTCTATTCAACTAGATGGTGTCCTAGTGCTTAGTACAATGAGGGGAGAACGTGGTGGATAAAGCTTCCAGTAAGGTGGTTGCCAAAACTGTTATTGTTCCATACATCTTGCCATGCATCCAATATTTCCTAGCCTGCCAGCATTGGACACAATCTGCTAGTTGTACCATAGATCTTCCCTTAGATGCACACCTTTTTAGATTGTGTATGGATGCAATCCTCTCACTTCGTTTGAGCTGCTACTAGTTCATCCTACATGAGAGATTAATGCAGGTGTTGAGGCAAGGATACAAGAAATTTAGAGGCTTCACGAGGTTGGGAAAGATATTGCCAAACAAAATCACAAGTACTAGACACAAGCTATCAAATCTCAGAAGAAGGTGACCTTCTAAGAGGTAGATCTAGTGTGGATCAGACTGAAAAAAGAATGATTTTCCAATGTTCATTAAGAAACTCAAGCACTAAAAACACGGACCTTTCTAAATCTTAAGAAAGTTGAATGACAACGCCTACAAAATTGAATTACAAGGAGGTTAAAACAATGGGGTAGGAATTTGCTTTGAGATTTTTGTCAAGACAGCCTCCGAAGTCACATTTTCCCATCCTAGGGTTGTATCCAATGGCGAGAAGGTGCTTTGGTTGTAACTCGTCCCAATGTGGTGTGTCTCGTTCTATCTTATGCTTGTTGTAGCCCTTCCAACCCCTCTATTGCCTACAGCCAACCTTTTCAGTCTACCTGTTGCTTCCTGCAACCTTCCAGTCCACTTGCTGCTTGTTGCCGCCCCTTCCAGCCCTCTCTTGCTTCCTGTGCAGCTGCGAACAGCCCTAAACCCTCACTCCCCTTGCTTCCTCCACATTCCCCTCTCCCTTTCGAGTTCCCCGCAGCTATCCAGTCGTCGGTCAACCTTCGCCTAGCTGCCCCTAGATCACCCTACCACCTACAACTCTCAGTTTTCCACCACCTTTGAATCCCAAATGGGTGTTTGTGTTTGTGTCTGTGTCGTTGTTCTTCTTATTTCAAGTGTCTCTGATTGTAACCCAATTTACTTTTAAGTAATAATATTCGCTTTCCCTATTATGATTTGCGTTCACTCTGAAATCCATGATAATGGTATTTTTTTATGTGAAGTTAAGGATTTGAGTTGTATGCATGTAAATATAAATGTTTAGGTCTTTGATATGTAAATACATAAGAATTTTGTGGTATGTAAGTAAAAGCCCCTAATAATTAAATGTTGAATCAATAATAAATCTCAAAGCAATTATGAAAAATAAGAAAAACAGAACGCAAAACCAATGTAACTAATAAAATTGAAATTACTATCCACCAAGAAATAAAACAAAATAACAAAAAAGCAGGTAGTAAAACTAAAGCACAATGCAATGAGATTTATGAGATTACCACAAAATTAAAAAAAAAAGTGCTCTATGCAAATGAAGCAAGTTTGAAGAGCTTAATGATTTAAGAGTGACTACTCTTCTCTGACCTCAGAACCAAGTTTTCCACATTTTATTTATAGCACAGAAATCAATGAACGTTTAACGGCGTTGGAGTATTAAAAAGAACTCACAGGATAATAATTTCCAGCAACAGGTTGGTGTACTTGCAGCGCCCAGTCCGACCTATAATTTCGAATCTGCAGAAGCAAAAGGAAACAATTTATGAAAAAAAAAAATAAAAAAATCAAATATTAGGAGGTTTGAGATCATTTTTACTTTTTATTTTAATTTGTTGTTTTTTTATATTTTGATTTAAAATAAAACATGTTTGACTATTTAATTATTATTTTTAAAAATACTCAAAATATCTAAAAGTTCCTTTGAATGTTTAAAAATATATGTTATTTAGTATTTAGAAACAAAGAATAAAAATATTTAAAAAACACATTAAACAAATATATTTTAAAAAAATAAACAAAAAAGAACAAAAAATAAAAATAAAATTGATCTCAAACAAGTCTTTAGGGACTAAGAGAAATTTTAACAAGTCTACCAAAAAATGGAATTGTCCATGTATGCCAGTATAGAAAATCTGACGTAAATTACAAATTGCAAGTGAAATCGTGAATCTTACCCTCTTTATGAAATCTCGCCCATTTGAATCTGTATAAAATATCTTGTTGGTCAGCATTTTTGTAGTGAATTGAGTAACTAATTCTTTCCCATTTCCATCTTCAATGGGTATTGGACCAACCTGAATTTTTATTGCGCCGTATTGGTAACAAATTCATAGCATGAAACAGATTATCAATAAAAAAAAACTACATATTAAACTTATTAAGCAGCTCTTTAAAGGAAATGCTTACTACAAACTCAAATTCTACATGCTCTTTTGCCTTGTATACCCTGGTAATCTGCAGAAAAAAAAGGGATAATTTTGAGTACATTTAATTCAATACTATGCCACAAATGTTAAAGCTGAACGCCAAAAACAATATGCATCTCAAATAAAATTATTGAATATTACACTTTTCTAGAAAAGTTGCCCTTTCAAGATACAAAGAAGGTGCCACTAAATCTTCTAGGCTAATTTCTTTTACCCAATTTACCTTTTTTAGAATTCACAATAAAAAATGCCATTTCAAATAGACGTTATCTGATGAAGGATAGCAACTACAAGCTTTCAGTAATTGAGTAGAAAAAAAAAGCTTTGAATTGGGGGATGAGAGGGTGAAATAGCTTTGCGGGCTGTTTGGGATCACTTTTGATTCTTATTTTTTATTTTCATTTTATTTTGTTTAGGTTTTACCTGAAATGAAATATGTTTAATATATTAGAGCATTTTTAGTTATTCTTCAAAATACTCAAAATAATTTTTAAGTATTTTTAAGAACGAGTTAATTTGTTTTTAAAACAAAAAAAAACATGCATAAAATTGTTGGCATCAATTTTTGATGCCACAAATGTAGGGTGTCCACCTGCATGACTCTGGATAGCTTACGGTCTGTCCGTAGCCATCTGGTAGTTTAGACACCCACTTGAGACCTTTCGGCGTGTGTTGAGGGGCACGTTGTCAGGGTCATTTTGTTAAACTTTTGCTTTCGCTTAGGCGAAGGTTGGTCGGCGTTTGGCACGTCGAAGGAATTCGATCAAGGCGAAAAATATTATTCGTCGAGCCACGCGTGAAAATTGGCTCGAATTGCCCGATCTCTAGTGAGCCCATTCAGACAAGCCTTGACGACAAAACAGACTACGCGATCACGTCCGGAACGTCGATTTTACTTAGAAAAGACATTTAGTTCGTTACGACTTTGTGGGCGAGCCTAAAATGCGCGAATTAATGTTTTTTAGCCCAATCGCTGAAAAGGTGGTCCGAGTGGCCTCAAACAACCCCGGATGACAAAACAAGCTGCGCGAGCGTATTCGAATTGTCGATTACACCTAAGTAGGACATTCGTTATGCCACGATTTTGCGGACGAATAGAAAAATATGAAAATTATCATTTTTGACCCGATAGTTCAAAAAGTGACCCCGAACGGCGAAAAGAACTGCGCGGATGTGTCTGGAAGAACAGCTTTAGTCAGAAAGGACACGCACCTCGCCGCAAGGACGTGTACGAGTGAAAAATATGCCAAAGATAATTATATAATAATAATTATTATAATATAATATAATGTAATATATTATATATATATTATTATTATATATATATATTATGGGAGAATAATAGGGGCTCTCTCTCGAGAAAAAATATTATAAGCCAAAAAAAAGGCTCCTCTCCGAACCCAAGCAACAGAATCCCGCCGCCATTCCCATTCGCTCCCGCTCGGTCGGTCCTCCCTCTGCGCCGGCACCCTCGCCGACCCTTCCCTGCCGACGAGCGACGCCGTCGGGAGCCTCTGAAGATCCTCCACGCCGGTGTTGCCCGTCGGTCCTGCCTCCCTGCCTCCCTTCTCCTTTGCTCGGCCAACCGCACGCCGAAATCTCCCCCCTCTCACCGGTCATTTCGCCGGGTTGTTTCTCGGCCGTAGGAGCATCTGACTTTGCCTAAGTCTCCCTCCACTGTCGAGCTCTTTCATTTGCAGCCCACCCTCACCACTTCCGGGAGATTTTCTTCCTCCCGGGAGATTTTCTTCCTCCCGGTCGATAACCTTTTGGTTTCTCCTCCTCACCGGACACACATAGCCGACCTACCTCCTCGCCGACGTCGATTTCGTGACGAACCAACCCAGTTTCAGCACACAACTCCATATTCTGTTCATTTCTTCTTGCTTATCTCGTTCCGGTTGCGTGCTACAGGCGGTACACCACCGCCCTCTCATCGCCTCGCTTTTCCAGCAACCAAATGCCTCGCCGAAGCATTTCAACGTTGTTGGACAGCGAACCTCATCATTGTTCGGAGGGGTGCAAGGGTCTTGAACCGCGTGCAAAAGAGTTCCCCGGACTTCATTGGGCTTCGTGCAAACCGTGTGACGGTATAACTCTCCTTCCCCTTTGTATTTTTACTTCCTAGCTAGCCCTAGGTTGTAGTGGCATTAGGCGTGCGAGTTCGATCGCCTGCACGGGGTGCGTGCGTCGGCAAGTGCAGGCGCGACGACACATCTGTGTGATGGATCACTTGTTTTCCTAAAGGTGGCCTTTAGGTTAGGATTCTCCTTACGCAACCAAATCCTCTATGATAGCCAAGCGAATCCCATTTGACTACTAGCCTTAGCACAAAAAAATCCTAAGGGTTGGAGCTCCTTTAGCTCCCCTTCGCTTTATTTGCTCCAGTCTTGTTAGAAAGATCGAATAATAGGTCTTCGTGAAATGATAAAATGCGAGTCATTAGCTAATTTTGTAAAGCTCAGAGGTGTCGTGAAATATGAAAAAGCGTCGTCGCTAGTGCATTTTACGGCAAGGCCGAAAACTTCTCCCTTTTGGAGATCCGGGGAGAAGTTCCCCACCTGCCTCGCCAAAGCAAAGGAGGCAAACGCCATTTTTATATATGTTGACCCTAGCTTTCCTGGTGAGATCGTTAGAGTCGGGATGACTCCCTATTACATGTGGATGTTTGCATATTGCATTTTGCATTTTATATAGCGTTTCACTTCGCTCCGATCGACTGCCCCGGACCGATGAACTTTTCACTTCGCTTCGACCGGCAGCCCCGGCCCGGCGAGCTTTTCACTTCACCTCAACCAGCCGTCCCAGACCGACGAGCGTTTCACTTCGCTTCGACCGACCGTCTTGGCCCTGACGAGCATTTCACTTCGCTCTGTCCGGCTGCCACGTCCCGGCGAGCTTCAGCGATCGGTTGTCTCCACCAGGCGAGCTTTTCACTTCGCTCCGTCCGGCCCGACGAGCATTTGACTTCACTCCGACCGGCCGCCCTGGCCCGACGAGCATTTCACTTCACTTCGACCAGCCGACCCGGCCTAGCGAGCTTTTCACTTTGCTCTGACCGGCCTCCCTGGCCTGACGAGCTTTCCACTTCCCATCGACAGGTCGTCCCGGCCCTGGCGAGCGTTTCACTACGCTTCGTCCGGCCGCCCCGACCTGATGAACATTTCACTTCGCACCGTCTGACCGCCCTGACTCGACGAACACTTTACTTCGCTCCGACCAGCCGCACCGGCCCGACGACCATTTCACTTCACTTCAGTCGGCTCTCCCAAGCCGGTTGGCATGACACTTTAGCTCGATTGAATGCCTTGATCCGATTGACCAACTACTTGCATCATCATACTGTCTTGCATGTGTATTTGTACTTTTGAATATTGCATATGTGATTGCATTATTGCATCTCGTCGCGCATCCGTATGTTTGCATGATTATGTTCATATGTTTGAATTGCAGATTCTCTTTGGGCCCCTGCCGCCACGCACGCCTACCTTTTACAAGTCACTACCTTATCAACACACATTTTCGGGTCGCTGCCACCATGACATGTCCATCTTATTGGGTCACTCCCGCTTCGGCATACCCCTTGGGGCCGCTACCACTACGGTACGCCCACCTCTGTTTGAGTCTCTACCTCATGGTACACTCATCCCCTTATATCTTTTGATTATTCTTTTGCATTTGCATGTCCACATGGATAGTGAGCCAGATCCGTTAGGAGAATGACTTTCGTGTTGGTCGCGATGCCTTAACGAGCATTGTTTGTCGGGTCGATCGGATGAACAATGCGAGTCAAGTCATCAGGACTTACATGAGTATGACTGTGCTAAGAATCCAACGGATCTAACTTGTGTCATCTCTTTCGTAACGCCTTTTAGATCCATTGGATCCTTAGGATGGATCAGTAAGGCGACCCCATCAAAGTCATACTACACCCATACTCACCCCGCACTTAGATATTAGGTTGACGCAGTTTTCGTTAGATGGTGTATTAGACTAGGATTTAGAGTGTTAAGTAATATTTTTCGACACCTCTCGCTATTGTTGTGCGATGCATTGTTTTGTGCTAGCAATGTGTCACCTTCTTGCTTTTTCGGTGTGTTTGCATATGTCGGCCGTTTTAATTTTGGTTTCAAAAAATATAGAAAAAAAGGAAAATAATCTTGATATGAATATGATTTTTAAAAGTGACATTTTGATTTAAAAATATATGAGACCAAACGAGTCTCATATTTTGAATAGTTTGGGTGACTAAGCACGATACCACAAATAATACACTTATTCCGAAGAATAAACATATCATTTGTAGTCGGCCCAATCACCTAAACTAAAGAATTTGTGACATCTGTTTGGTCTGTGAAATATTTTATATGAGACCAACAAGTTCTCCTACCTAATATGTGGATTAGATAGAGTTTATTTTACCTAGGTTTCAAGTTCCCTATAGAGGCAAACCCCTATAGTTAATTACATCTTAAATGACCGGAGTCACCTAAGAAAACTCTCGATTAAGATCAGTAGTTTTGCCTTCAAGTTTTCAAAGTCTAGGTTTCCAAGATTGGACATGGGAAAATCAAATGGTAGTGGCTCAAACAAGAACAATTATTTACAAGAAACCAAAGGAATGAAGAGTAGAGGATATCATAGGTCCAGAGAAAACCCCGGTGACTTCCCAACTATCCTACTGTATGGCTTTATATCTTTAAAATGATGTTGTTTAATATTTTAATTATGCACTTTATTTAGAATTTAGGACTTATATTCACACGATATCTGATCGTGCAAATAACATAAAAAGATAGGAAGATTTACACCGTACCGTACGGTAACCTCAGAATCATAAAGTGTTATGACTTATAATTGCACAATATGGTTGTACAATAACCTAAAAGGTGATATGTGAGGATTTACACTGCGCTAGACAAACCACCTCGAGCTCCTATGGGTTGTTATTTAAACTAAGGGAAGTGATCGGTGACGTGAAAGTGTTTTGATGTTTCGGATCCACCTTGAAGTTGTTCCTCGTCGTGC